AGGGAAAATGAGAAATGAAGGATAAATGAGAGGGAGGTGATTCTAAAGGAGAAAAAAGCCGTGAATTTTCCTTGTTTGGGAATTTATAGGGCAATGGCAGAAAGCAGGTGAAGGCTGGGCTAACCTCTACTGACACTGGTTCATTCTTTGGGCTATTGAGTACTGAGTCAATGGAGGTCTTACAACATTCTGCAATCTCCTGTCCACATGCTGCCCAGCCAGTCAGATGAGTGAGGCTTCCCTTGTACATCTCTGATCGCATCATTAGTTATTGCCTTTGACTGACTGCTAGCTCTTAGTCATTTACCTGGGTTAACTACCCTCTGACCATGCAGTTGTCTCAAGAACTGTTAATTATGCTAAGCTATTTTATTTCCCATTTACGTGATGAGCTTATAGCTCTTCCAGGCAAAAGGTTAACTCCGCCAGAGCCACCAGCATATAGTTACAGTCATTCTTGGTTTACTTTATATTTAGTTCCTTGTCTATATGGTGGTCAAGGCTCTCTTTTCTGAAACATGTACAGCCTTGCTGATTCAGTCTGTTAAAAGTAGCTCTATTAGAAGCAAGGATACATGGAAGGAATATAGAACCTCAAGGACTGGAAAGAGTCAGCTGCCATGCCTTTGCTGGTCCAGAGTCCCTCCTCTTATATGCCTAATTTGACTATCTCAAGCCAAGTTGCATGTCTTTTTATTCATCTTGTTCAGTGTTCCAGACTCTGTGATTTTAATCTTTAGTCTTTCTTTCAACTCCAGTGTCTGTCTCACCAAAAGAAGTGTGAACAACTTGCAGTTTTTAACCATGGACCCTTTCTGCTTACTGCCTGACTTATTTCTATTGGAAGAGCGTCCTCATAAAAAAAATAAATAAATAAAAAATAAAAAAAACAAGATTCACTTACTCTTGCTCTTTCTCTCTCTCTCTCCCTCCCTCTGTCTTCCTCTCTCTCCCTCCCTCTCTCTCTCCCTGTCTCTCTCCTTCCTTTCCACCCTTTCCCTAGCACACACACCAAAGGAAAGACTGTACTATATGAGAGAAAGCAAGAGTTTCCTTGTCAGTGTGAAGCCTGTGCAACCCCATTGCTGAAAAAGAAACTCCATTTTAAGGGAAACTGACCTGGACATGTGCTCCAGTTAAAAAAAAAAAAAACAGGAGAAAAACCCATAAAAAAAAAAGGTGCTTCGACCACTCACCACTAATAATATTTAACCTTCACCCCTAGCAAAGCTAAACAGATGGCTAAACAATAAATACCTAGAGATTACCCAGGTGTTCTTTACAATACATTGAGTAAAACAATTACGGTTTGGCCTGCTGGAAACAATAAATCAGGGTCTACTGCCTGCTATTTGTTAAATGTCAATCAATCATGCATCAACAAGCTGGAATTTCCCCAAACCTCACTGTAACACCAATAAAAACCCTGATGATTTGGAGCTCAGTGCTCTCCATCCTGTGGTGCTGGTTGTGAGCCTTGCTTGAGCTTGAATAAGTCAACCCTTGTGTATTTGCATTGGAATCAGCTCCTTGGTGGTCTTTTGGGGTCTCCAAGATCTGGGCACAATAGTCAGAAACCCTAAATCAATCTGGCAGGTACATGGATCGTGAACTACCAGCTCCAGAGCGGTGAGAAAATAAAAGTGTGTTGTACACAACACCAAGTTTGTGCATTTTCTTATGACAGCTGGAAAGACTAAAATACTATTTGTTAAGTACTTTGTTACATGACAGGGATACTGATTCAAGTAAAATAGAGGCTTTCCTCTATTGATTAGTGCATTGAGGGAAATAGTGGAAAGGAGGCATGACCAAAGCCAAGTAAAGAAGGTACCATGGAAGCCTCAGGGAGGGGAAATGAACACTGAAAAGTTTTGAAAATTTTTGACAATAGATGCAATTTATAATGTTGTGCCTTTTAGAAAACAGTTTGGGAGAGAAAAAAAGAAATAGAGTAATTTTATGACTTAGAAAAAATGTAAGTGAAGGTGAGGATGTGGGTAATTGCATTTGTATTTAGAAAATAAAAGCAATCCTTTCAAATTAGAGCATGGATAATAATGAGAGATGCAGGAATGCACTAAGGCAAAGAAACCTTACAGAAATCAGTTAGCCCAGGCTGAAGAGATGGCTCAGCAGTTTGAGACACTGACAACTCTTCCAGAAGACCTGGGTTCAATTTCCAGTGCCCACACTGGCAAGTAACAACTGTCTGTAACTCCAAGATTTGACATCCTCACAGACATACATACAGGCAAAACATCAATGCAGAAAAAAGATAGAAAGAAACTTGAAAGAAGGAAACATGAACGAAAAGAAACGAAAGAAGGAAAGGAAGAAAGAAAAGAAAGAAGGAAAGAAAGAAAGAAGTCAATCAGACCTATCAGTTCTAGTCTTCTATGAAGTCCCCTAGAGCTACACAACAAATGTGAGGGGCATCCATAGACATTTTCCCAAACCACCAGTTGTTAAAAATAAGAAAGTAAAACCTTCAGAAGGGAATGGATTATGTATAGATTAGAATACAGGAGACCTGAATTTTTATAGTAAAATATAAAATTTAGTAGATTTAAATTTTTCCAAGAACAAATACATATCAGAAAACTCCATTCCATTTATAAGACGCTAAATCAAAGTTCATTTAATGAAGATAATTTTAAAGTAGAATCAGTAGATTTCTCTGAGAAAATGGAAGTTATAGCATGAATAAACTCAGTATTTCTTCATTGGCTTTTCCAGTGTTCTGTGGCATGGTTTGCTGACATTTGCTTGCACACATAATTGCTCCATTGGAAAGATGTTTAAGTAGGAGATTCTGTTTGAGGGATCCACTCTTAACAAAGGAATGGATGGCTCATATCAATAATTAAATCACTATTTATTTTTCTCTTGCTTAAGTGCCCTACAGTGATTTGTCTAAGATGGTTTCAGCTAGAACTGTACCAACAGAGAAGTGGGTAGAGCATATATTTCTATAAATTACTAACAAATTTAAATTATTGCAAAAAATAAAATATTCTTATTCACAAAATCTGTAGGAGGTGGCTTGGCTTCTTTCTTGGGAGTCAGAAGTTACTCTTTTCAATTTAAAGACAATAGTATTGCCTTAGTTACTTTTTTATTGCAGGAATAAAATACGATGACCAAGGCACCTTATAGAAGAAATGGTCCATTTTGGCTTACAGTTCTAGAGGAATAAGCATCCATCCATGACCATCACAGGGAAGTGGGAGGCATGGCAGCTGGAGCAGAGGCTGAACAGCAAATATAAAACAGTGAGAAAGTGCATTGGAGATGTTGTGAGTCTTTGGGATTCTCAAAGCCACCTCCAGTGATGTACTTCCTCCAAAAATTCAATATCCCCTAACCCTCCCAAACAGCAAAACCAACTGGGGACTAAGTGTTCAAATACATGAGCCTATGGGGAGACATTCTCATTCAAGAATCTACATGTGGGACAAACATCCACTGAACTAGAGGGATTCTTGGATGCTCTAACCTTGCTCTCACACACAACAGTGCTCTCAGTTTGTTGTTCTATCGTATCCTGCCATCAGCTTTTCCTTCTTCCAGTAAGCCCCTCTCTTCTCATACTACCATCCATTGGACACCCCAGCCAAAACTCTGTGCACTTATCATCTATGTACAAGCCATCAAGGGATTGACTTCCAAAATATACCAGGAACTGGGCAGCCACTACCTCAGCCCAGGGAGATCCTCCTCTCAGCTAGAATGTTCTCTTCCTCCCAGTATCTCTCTGTCTTCATGGTAAGTCATTCTCCACAAAAGAAGCAAACCAACCATCTTTAACAGCTAGAATTCTATCTCCCTAGTAGAAGTGACTGTGTGAGGTATATTTATGATTTATAGGTTTGGCTTCATTGCCATCTTTACATAATGATGCTCTGTGAATTTCAAGTATATCTTTTCATATGTAGTTTTGAGAGCTTACTTTTAAGTATATTTCTAGAATAAAATTGCCAAGTATTAAAGAATGATGCCTTCAGCCTGGCATTGAGAACTGAGCCATGCAGCAACTCTGTAATTCAGTTCCTGAAGAACATGAGACTGTTGCCTTTCCTGCCACAACTTTGTTTATTGATTGAAATTAGTAATTCTCACTATTAGCAAGCCTCAGATTCTATTCAGCAAAGAAGTCTGGAATCAGTGTGTTCTCTACACTGGAGTTCACTCAAGCTCTAGCTTTCTGCTTTTGGCAAAATCACATTACTAAAATGAGTCATCCAAAGAATACTTGACAGCTTTCAATACTTGACAGTGGATTATTAGGGATGGAATATCATCATTGTGGACCATCTGTAATGAGTTTGGAATGAGTACACCATACATGATTCTCATTTTTACAGGTCAGAAATACTAGAATCCCAAAGGAAGAAAGCAGGGCAGGACACACCTATGGTGCTTTAGAGATTCAGATGTGGCCCTAAGGAGGCCCTGGTGCCTTCCCAAGAGCAGACAGTACATTTAAACAGTGCTAGTCTCCATCCACACACATGACAAAACAGTTTGAAAGAGGGCTTAAAAATAAGGCTTTATCAAGAGGGAAATAAAACGCTGAAAATATCCCTGGCAGTGGCTCATACCTTTAAACCCAGCACTCAGAAGGCAGAGGCAGGAGTTCGAGACCAGCTTGGTCTACAGAGAAAGTTCATGATAGCCAAAGATACACAGAGAAAGCCTGTCTAAAAACAAAACAACCCCCCCCAAAAAAAAAAAAACAAAAAAGAAAAACCATGAAATATGCAAAACAATAACAGAAAGACTGAAAATTATCATAATGAAAGTGAAGGAAGCATTAAAAGTACCACTGGGCATGGTAGTACATGAAAATCCCAACCCCTGGAAGATTTGGCAAGAGGATCATTGTGAGTTCCAAGCCAGCCTGTGACTTCCATTCCCATGCAGCCTGAGCTATAGCATAATATCCTGCATCAAAACAAAACAAAACACACCAAAAAAGCAAACAAAACGCCATACCATTCAAGTCAACTGCTTTATTTCATCAATGACAAGTTTATAAGACCATAAGTTAGGAATACTTATATACAAGTGGGAGATATGTTTGTCAAAATACCACTCTGTTAATGAACAATTTAAACACATTCGATGTGTGAAAGTTTGGAATGTTCCTGGTGTCAATGTCTGAGCCTCGAGAATAAGAAAGTGCAGAGAGAGCAAGCCTTCCAACCCACTCAGTGCTTCACAAACTGACGGCAGAAGCACCATGATGTGATCTCGTTCTACGAACATGGCGGGAATACTAGTGACTGTGCTTTATAAAACCTTGCTTAAGGCAATCGCCATAGGAAACGCTATCAAGATTCATAATGGCGCAAACCTGTAAGGTCTTGCACTTCTGATCACATGTTACGTTGCTGTCATAACTCACAAAAAAATAATGGTAGTATTTCAGAAACTGTTTGCTGTCTAAGGCAGCAAACTGCTTAGCTAATCCATGTAAGCTCGCAGCCTGGAGATCGGCAACGCCATAGGTCTGAGTCAAGATGTACTCCAGTGTCCAGTTGGATTCTCCTTTTAGATTTGCTTCTGTCAGGTTCAAATAATACTGCAACATGTCCTATATCAAAGACAGTAAGGGAGCCAGTTCACTTTTCACCATAGAGACCATCGCACCCTATGAAGATCTCTCATGGAGCTTCGTGTGGCATGCTGAACTTCAAGTGTCCAAAAACCTGTATCACTTTTGTAAACTTCAGGAATAATGAAAGAATAGTACATCATCCATAGACACAGTTAATATGTACAAAATAAAGTGCCTTGAATTCTCACAGCTTAGAGACAACCACTAACAGCTGATGTGAACCAGTTGGTGCTGGAGGCAGCTGAACCAGCACCCGGGTGCCGCATGAGATTATCACACGGGCTGCGAGCCAGCCAGTGTCAGTTTGGTAGCTTGAGATTATGACACTGATAAGTGCATTTGCTATCTTGAAACCACGAAGGTCTACACATTTAGGAACTGTTGTTAGATGAACAACAGTTCAATGAACTAGTTGTTAGATATTTGTTGGCACTCCTCTGTGTGTGTGTATAAATACCGTTCATATATATACTTCGGATAGATGATAGACAGACAGATAGATGATAGAAGATAGATAGACAGATAGATAAAGAAATTGTTCCATATTTTATAGATGAAACAAAAACAAATACTAGAATACATATTCTTGTTTGCTTTTTTCGCCTTTTATTTATTTATTTATTTATTTAGTAAAATGAACTCACCTTAAACAAACAGCTTGGTAGTTTTACTTATCTTCAGTTGGTGTTCCATGAGGGGCATCTTTCTTTTTTTAATTAAATTTTTATTTTTTTATATTAATTACAATTTATTTACTTTTTATCCCAGCTGTAATCCGCTCCTGAATTCCCTCCCTATTCCACCCTCCCTCCCTCATCTCCTCCCTGCCCCTTTCCAAGTCCACTGATAGGGGAAGTCCTCCACCCCTTCCATCTGACCTTAGCTTATCAGGTCTCATCAGGACTGGCTGCAATTTTCTCCTCTGTGGCCTAGCAAGGCTGCTCCTCCCTCGGGGTGGGGGAGAGGTCAAAGAGCCAGCCAATGAGTTCATGTCAGAGACAGTCCCTGTTCCAGGGGCATCTTTCTATGCCAGTAAATACTCTCACACACACAGACACCCCCTCATATATTTACAGACATGAATGAGGAAGTTCAAATCCTCACCAACCAACCAGCAATTATAAAATAATTCATTTGAACTAGTTTAGTAAGTTTAATTTAATTTAATTTTTATGCATGAAGTTCAATTATCCCCTAATTCCTCTTCTTGGTATTTTAAGGAATAACAATGCTGTCTTGTAAAAATAAACTAGGAATATAATTACGTCAATAGCCACATTGACGTAAAGTACTGAGGTAAATGACATAAAGTACTGTCAAACTATATCTGTAGAAAGGGGCAGTTACCCAATCTAAGGTATCTACAATCTAAACAGTCAACTCATTGATATCAAGTTGTTCTTAAGTACACAGTCACAAATGTACACAAGAGAATTTTTGAGATAAAAGTAAATGCTGAATTTGAGTTTTTCCTTTTAAAAAATTTAACTTCAGTTGAGCTTTTAGTATAAGGTAAACATCATTTTAACTGTTTTATATTGATGTTTTGTTTTTCCACGGAAGCATCTTAGGAACTCATGATTTGTTCATACTTGAGGCACACATAGGAAGGTGTGTGTGTGTGTGTGTGTGTGTGTGTGTGTGTGTGTGTGTGTGTGTACATTTTCTCTGTGTGGATGTGTATGCATACGGTTGAGTGCTGTGGAGGACACAGGTCAACAATGACTAGCTCTCCCCCTTATTTCTTCTGAGAATAAAACTTTTTCTTCTCTCTTTCCCGAATCTGGAGTTGTGCTTTTCAGCTAAAATGGATGACACCAAGCTCCAAGGATCCCCTTGTCTCCACACCACTGCACTAGGGAATCAGATGTTCACAGCCATGCTTGCCATTTTATGTGACTAGAGGGTTTCAGAATTTAGAGCAATCTGCTTACAGCAAGAATATTTGCCAACTGAGTTAGCCCCCGAGCTCTCACTGTCATACTTTAATTTCCATTTTAAAGAAGAACAAATTAGAATGCAGAGAAACTTGGTTAACAGTTGAAAACAGAGCACAGTTCTGGGGACTATACTTTTCCAGATAAGTACATTTGGGAGAAGAGTAATTACTGTGGCTTAAGGAGGGCAAAAATATGCATCAAAGACCACAAATAAGGCTGCATCCAGTGAAAGCTTTGAAAAGGCGGCAAGATCAGGGCTTAGAATGTAACTCAGTTGTGAAAGTGCCGGCCTTGCATACAGAAGGTCCTGAGCTCAGTCCTCAGCATCCCCAAAACCTGGGTATAGGGTTACACACCTGTTATAGCAGCATTTGGGAGGTAGAGGGAAGAGGACCAGAAGTCTCAAGAATACATTAACTTTAAGGCCTACCTGTACTACATGAGACCCAGTCTTAAAGCAAACAAATAAAAAAGGTCAGGAAGCCCCTAAAGAGACAGTAACTTCCCACAAGCAAACCTTACCTACCCGCCCATAGGGATGACAAAAGGACATCCACCTTTAAATAAGGGCACCATGAGATATCAGCATCAAGCATCTTTAATGGACAGTCTACTCAATGAATGAAAACCTCCAATGTATACATGTAGGGTCAACTGAAACTGCTCCAACTTACCAGCAGGGTATAATCACCAGGCTTGTACTGAAATAGTCTGACACCAGGATTGTTGGTCTCTTTTTGTAAAACTCCTTTCACTGGTGTAACAGCAGGTGCCACAAACACAGAACTTACTGGACTTCCTGGACAAAAAAAAAAAAAAAAAAATCAGGTATATAGTGTAACATTTTAATCTACCTTAAACTAATGAACAGCTTAGGTTAAGAGATCAATAGACACTGTGGTCATTGATTAATCCTGCCTCAAAGCAATTACTGTATTGCTTTTGAGAAAACAAGGGTATTTATTTCATTCCCAAACCAAAAGACTATTACTGATTTTGCTAAGCAGATTAATGCTATTGTGATTATATAAATTACCTGCATACCCTAGGAATAAATATAGAATTATACAGAGATATAATTGAACGGATGCTTAAAAGTTACTTTTAAACACTTCAGCTAATTTGGTGGCAGACAGACAGATGACAGATAGAGCATAGATAGGTTACAGACAGGTTATATGTAAATGATCATAGATGATGATAGATATATAGATTAATGATGGAAATAGATAAATGAAAGGGAGGTAGATTATTGAAACACATAGATGACAGAAGAAAGACAGATAGATAATAGATTTTAGACAGACAATGGATGGTAGATGATAGACAATAATTTATTGATAGTGAAATAGATGACAGCCACAACAAAGAGATGATAGTGGATAGACGATAAGGAAATATTGCATGGTCTTGAAAGAGAATGAATAGATGAAAATAAATCCGGTAATACCTTGGCGAATGTTCAGTACAAATAATGAGTGGACAGGAATCTGATCACATTCTCAACCTTTATATGTATTTGAAAATTTTTCACACAAAAAAATAAGTCTACCACAACTTACACACACACATACACAAAGAAAAGAAAGAACAAAAACAAAAATTGATTTGTTCTTTTAAACCTTTCCTAAAGTAATTATTTCAGTCATTATTCATTACTTTTACTGGCACAAGCCTTTAATTCCAGCACTCAGGAAACAAGCACATAAATGTGAGTATGAAGCATGCCTGGTGCATGTAGTTCCAGGACAGCCAGACCTACACAGTGAGACTCTTTTCAAAACAAAAAGTAAAATTAAAGCTAAAAATATTAACATATTTTATACATGTCTATTTTAAGAATACGATTTATGGTTGGGCATGGTGGCGCATGTCTTTGATCCAACACTGGGGTGGGCAGAGGCAGGCAGATCTTTTTTTTAATTTGAGGCCAGCCTGGTCAACATAGTGAGTTCTAGGACAGCCAGAGCTCTGTAGTAAATAAATTCCTGTCTCAGAAACAACAAACAAACAAACAAACAAAGTCATATTATGTTCTAAAACCTCAAATGGTTTAAAGTAACTATTGTGATAAGATGTTTCGTTCTAGAAGATAAACATTTTAAAAATATTGTCAAAATATTGAAGAAAACTCAACTTTTTTCCCTGTTGTCTACATAAAATCAAACTCTTACTGTTTCTTGCTATAACTTCTCCTAGTTTTCCTTCCTTTTACTGTGAGTGACAAGACAAATTAAGCATGTACTGAATACATTTTAAGGTATTGTGTGAATTGTGATTTGTACTTTAAATTCTGTGAGGAAAAAGAAAAGAAAAAACAAGGGAAACTTGAGTGTAGTGGGTAAATAATGAACAGTATAATTTCTCCAGCTCAAGTGTCTGACAGAATCTTGGAGTGAGCTGAGGGCTTCAGAGCTTTCTGTGTAGATGCCAAATAAACAACACTGGCCCTTCGCAGCTGACTAGAGCTTATGTTGAATAAATCTAGCCAGCTATGATTTGGGCACTCAGCTTACAACCATCAAGATAAAATAGAAAATGTTGCTGGATATTTGATCACGTCATGAACCTGGAAATTATGTTGGTTACTGGGAAAACCTGTTTCTAGTTGTGGGTGTGGCTCAGCCCTAGGACACACCTTTAATCGAAGAGCTTTCTGCTTGAATGTCATAACTAAGATTAAAGTTAACGTCAGGTCAAGTGACACAGCAAGCAACCAGTTGACAGGAAGTGAATATAGAAACCAAACAGAGAGTAAGAGGAAGTCATGTGGGAAATGCAGATCAAAACAACCCTGCGATTTCACCTTACACCCATCAGAATGGCTAAGAACAAAAACTCAAGGGATGAAGCATGCTGGAGAGGTGTGGAGAAAGGAGAACCTTCCTCCATTGCTGGTGGGGATGTAACCTTGTAAACCACTTTGGAAATCAATAGGGCACTTTCACAGAAAATTGGAAATAGTGTTACCTCAAGATCCAGCTATACCACTCCTAGGCATATACCCAAAAGATCCCCCACTATTCAATAAGGACATTTGCTCAACCATGTTTGTAGCAGCTTTATTTGTAATAGCCAGATGCTGGAAACAACCCAACAACCCAACAGGGGAATGGATACAGAAATTGTGGTACATTTACATAATGGAATAATGCACGGCAATTAAAAACAAGGAAATCATGAAATTTGCATGCAAATGATGGGAACTAGAAAAGATCATCCTGAATGAAGTAACCCAGAAGCAGAAAGACACATGTGATATATACTCACTTATAAGTGGATATTAGCGATATAATATAGGATAAACATACTATAATCTATAGTCCTAAAGAAGCTAAACAACAAGTAAGACCCTAGAGAAGATGCTTAATCCCCATTCAGAAGGGCAAACAGGATAAACATCTGAAGTGGGAGAAGACAAGGAACAGGGCAGGAGCCCTCCACAGAAGACCTCTGAAAATCTTTACCCACCAGGGTATTGAAGGAGATACTGAGACTCAAAGCCAAACTTTGGGCAGAGTGCCAGAATCCTCAAGGAAGAAGAGGAAGATAAAAAGACCTGGATGGGACAGGAACTCTACAAGAAGAACAACAGAGACAAAATACCCAAGCCCATGGGGGGGCCTGCAGAGACCAATATTCCTACCAAGGACCATGCCTGGAAAGGACCTAAACCCCCTGCTCAGATGAAGCCCATAGGCTGCTCAGTTTTCAAGTGGGCTTCCTAGTAAGTGGATTAGGGGCTGTCTCTGACATGAACTCAGTGGCCGGCTCTTTGATCACTTCTCCCTGGAGGTTGCAGCCTTGCCAGGCCACAGAGGAAGATGATGCAGCCAGCCTTGATGAGACTTGATAGGCTAGCATCAGATAGAAGGGGAGGAGGTCCTTGCCTATCAAGGGACTAGGGAAAGGGCATAGGGGAAGAAGAGGGAGGGTAGGTGTGACTAGGAGGAGACAAAGGAGGAGACTGCAGTGGAATACAAAGTGAATAAATTGTAATAAACAAATAAATTAATTAAATTAAACTTTAAAAAAAGAGGAAGTCGGGGGGACAGATAGGAAGACGTACAGGAAGTAGAAGGGAGAAACATTCAATTTTGAGGGTCTTTTGAGATGGCATGGGGATGCAGGTTTCCTTTTTCCTTCTAGGACGTCAGCTGAGGGGGAGGGTCAGCTGGTGTTTCCTCTGCCTCTCTGAACTAGCAGGCTTTCACCCCAGCATCTGGCTCTGGCATCTTTAGTTAGTAAAATTCAATAACAGAGATATTATTTAAAAACAAGAAGGGCAAGAAACTTCACTTTTAGACAAAGCTTTAAATGTCCAGATCAGTAACCACAGTGGCTAGTCACAGTCATACTACAACAAGGGGACTAGGATCTTCATCCAGGCCATCTTCATTACCTTTTTTATCTGAAAGAACCATAAGGCTGTCCCTGTGGGTGTGGCCGTAGAACTGTCCCACAATGACAGAGCTGTACCTTCTGAAAATATCAACCAGTTTCTCATTACTGTACTGCCTCACTGCTGTGGTGCCAGTTACATAAGGAAGATAGCCCACAGGAACGTGAGCTATGATGTACACCTGAAAAGAGAAACACAAGGAGACATGACAGTTTGTTTGTACATTTATCCTTACTAAGCGACAGCTGGATACCCGTGACTGAACATACATAACTAAGATTTAGAAAACGAACATCTCCTCTCTCCTGAGTCTGAGAAAAGAAGAGCGAGCTGCGATTGGGCAGCTATCAGGGCACTTTCTTAGCATATGTCTCATTTTTTACTATACTCTTGGATGATATAAAAACAATGGCTTTAATCAACTTTTTTTAAGTCTTGAATTTTTACTGCTTTTATTAATTTCTGATTCTGCCCCAAGCTCAATAGCCAAATGTATCTTTCTGGCAGTCCACTGCTAGTTCTGGTCTATAAGATCTACCTTCTCCTTATTTTGCAGCGAGCTGTTGAGTGTATTTTCCAACCACTCAAACTGATTTGCTGGGTCTGTCTTGTTGAGGGTCATGACATTTGGGCCATAGTACAAGTTTGTGTTTAGGCTAATGATCCTCAAGCCTGGATTACTTGCAACTTTCTGTGAGTAAAAGCCACCTGTAAAAACAAATGTAAAACATGCTTTAGAAACACAAACACACAAATACAAAGACATTGGGAAAGCAAACTCTTAATGTTAACAATGTAGACTGCATTTTCACTGCTTGGGTAAAAATAACTGAAAAGGTACGATATGTCTGGTCCAATGTGTAAGATTATGAGGGAAGAGCAGCTGCATCCAATGTGAATAGTTGAGCAGTGGGCAATGAAAGTGAATTTTAAAAATAGCAACTTATATTACACAATGCTCAATAGGGAGTTGTGGAACGGCCACAACTGTCAGGTCTAGAACACAACTCCTGCACCTAAGGTTCAGGGATCATTGTGGAAGAAAGACTGTAAGAGCCAGAAAATCAGGGAGCTTACTGTAAGATTGGGTCTCCTAGAAATAGCAGAGAAGCTATACACATGAAGTCTCACCAACATCACTGCCTAAACATGACTGAAGAAGGGCAACACCAATATACATGCTAACATGGAAGGGGAAAAGTTTTTGGGTGCATCAACCTTAGACAAAAACTACAGAAAACAAATAATGAGGGGGAAAAATAGTTGACTTCTGGCTAGAGCCACCAATTGGTTATCCAATAACAAGTGATCAGCCCTGGAAATATACATACAAGTAACATTATACAGACTAAGCAAGTTGTATTTATGTATTTACAAACTATATCTACATTCATTCATCATCTATCTATCTATCTATCTATCTATCTATCTATCTATCTATCTATCCATCACATAAGTAACAACAATGGAAAAGCATCTATGCATTAAAAGAACAAGGCAGGAGAGACACATGACAGAATTGGAGAAAGAAAAGGGAAAGAATAAACGATGTAATTATATTTTCATCTCAAAAAATAAAAAATACTTTAAAAATAATAATAATTTATATATTAGTCCCTGTTTTAAATAATAGGACTTAAGGATGGAGATATTATAAAACATAAGATCTAAAGAATAGATATACACCGAATCCTGCTAAAAACATCCAGCAAAAGAGTACATTGGACCCTAGTACATTCTGTGCCCCACACCTGAACTAGTGGTGAAGACACACACACACACACACACACACACACACACACACACACACAAAAATATGTCATACTGGAACATTCAGAGTGAGCCACTCTATTCTAGTACCTGATTTCTGTGTCCTATGCCCATTCACCAAACATCTATTTCAATAGCTTTCACTCATGACTGATCAAAGCCTCTCTAGCTTCTATTTTTCTCCCCTATAGTCACAGCACATTATGATTTTCACCATAGTAAGACTTATATGTGTGTGTAAGTGTGTGTGTGCTCATGTGAGAAGCCAATGTCCAACCTCTCTAGTGTCATTCCTTAGATGCTATATACATTGTTTGTTGAGCCGGGGACTCTCATGGGCCTGGACCTTACCTGGCTAGACTAACTGACTACGAAGCCCCAGAGATCCACCTGTGTCCACCTCCCAAAAAGTGAAAAGAAATTTTTTTAAGTTATATATTTATAATGTACAATGGCACAGGGTTAACATTCTGCTATAGTTTAGATTTGAAATTTTCCCAAAGACCCTTCTGTGTGAAGGGTTAGTCCCAGAGCATGGTCTTAGTGAGAGGTTGCTAAAGCATGAGAGGGCATAAGAATCAGTCTATTGATAAACTAAATAAGTGATCAGAGGTAGGGCCTAGTCAACTACAACACAGAAGAACTGTCTTCAGATGGAATGTCTTGTGTCTGCTCACACTAATTCCTGTATGCTCTCTCTCTTACTATCTTCACTCTGTCTCTCCCTTCTTCCTTCCCTACCTTTCTCCCTTCCTTCCTTTCTTCCTTCCTTCATTCCCTCCCTCCCTCTCTCCCTCCCTCCCTCCTTCCTTCCTTCCTTCCTTCCTTCCTTCCTTCCTTCCTTCCATAGCTCTTTTTTTCTTCCTTTCCTTCCTCCTTCCTTAACTCTCTAGCTCTCTCACTCATACCCCCTTTCCTGGTTGTCATGAGGTAAGGACCTAATCTCTGCCAAACCCAACTGTCTTAGTCTTAGAAGTCTGAAGTGTTGTGTCTAGAATACCATTAACCAGCTGACCTTTGAAAGAAGAAACTCATATGAATCTTCTTCCATTCAGTTGTTTAACTCAGGTATATTTGAGAAATCCTTACTTAACACGAATTACTATCCCAAAAGAGAGGAAGAGGAAAATTAGCAAGGAAAGCTCAGACAAAAGCAAGAAGGATAAATATAAAACCATAACCCTATGTCTGATGTCTACTGTACTTGGTAGTGGGCTATCAGCTCCAATTGGGCAGTCCTACGGCCTTCCTAACTGCATGTCCCATGGCTTCTCCTGGGCTGGCTCTGCTGACATTTGCATCTTGCCTTGGAGGATATTCCACATCCTGGCACCTGTAACTTTTTCCTCTCCATGCAGCTTTACTCTACAGCTTCACAGCACCATCTTCTCAGGGGGCCTGTCCATAGGAAGGGGAGGGGAGACTACACCCAGGCAATGACTCGCCATGTACTATTTATGTTATTTTTCTAAACATCTCAAGGGCCATATGAAAACCTTAGTTATTCCCACTTTACCAGCGGTTCCTTCATAACATTTTGCTCTTGGAGTAAAAAGTTTCTTTCTTTTCAATCCATTTTACAACAAAAAGCATACACTTTCATTTATATTCACGTTTGAAATTGAGATTTTTATTCATGTGGAACATCTTGGTTGAGGAGGAACAGGAAGGCAAAGAGACCTTCACAAGATAAAGAGATTCACACGTGTCCCAAGCGCACACCACCGCAGCTTACTGTCTTTCATACAAAGTGGGCACAGAGAAGATCTAGAACCAGAAGACTCAAACAAACGTTAAAGATTTAAGCCTATACAAGGAATCCAAGGGGAAACAAAGAAGTCGTGCTAACCTTTCTTTAAAGTGCTGATAGCTTCTTCATCCAGCCACGGTTTCCAGAGTTCGGCTACAGCACTGTAGACCTTACTGGTGGCTGTCGGCAGCTGGTCCTAGCCACAGAGAAGACAATCCGCAATTGAAACTTTAAGCATATAGAGACCAATTAGTGAAAAATATTGCTTGAGTGCTGACTGTGTTAGTCCGCTGTAGGCAAAAAGGTAAGTTTAGTCTTTAAGGACAACATAACCTAGCTGTGGAAAGGTAGACAAAGGTGATACAGTAACTGTAAGACATATTGCCAAGTGCTATTTTAGAGGTCCTGGGAGCACAAAACAAGAACATCATGTCAGGCAAGAAACAAAGGCAGCAATTACGGAAGGAATTGAGCAACAGTTCCGAGATGACATTAAAGTAAAATGCAGGCATTGGTGCAGGCATAAACACAGCAGTCCAGAGGTGTGAGCTATCTGCAGATGGAAGCTCTTCTTAGTGCCTGAGCAGGCTTTAGATGGATGAGGAGATAAAGAATGTGTTCCTGGAACAATGAGGGCAGGTTTGAACTTGAACACGCAAGACTGGTATAGCATGCCGTAGACTGGAGAAAACTCGGTAACTTAAAACTTTAATAAAGTCACCCTAGATCTTACAACTATAGAGAATATGAATACCGTATACTCATATAGGAGGAGAGTCATCCCAAAAGCTGTCAATTGCAGATTCCCTCCATGTTCATGCATACCATGTTAACATCCAGTTGGCTATCCAGCAGACCGTCTTTAGGCTGAGGCCTGACGACCATAGGAAAATGAGCAACCATAGGAAGGCTCATTACCCATGCAGTTGGCAGCATCAATCTTAACCAATGTAGAAGTAAATAGAAACTCTGGTCCACACTGCTTACTTGAGCAGCGCTGGAAAATAATTCCTGGGTGAGTTATACGCTTCAGGCGGACAGGTGAGGTGGCTGCATTTCTCTGGGTACCTTTACAGAGTTACGGTACAGGGTTAAAGGCTTTTATTGGAGAAATTCTACTCAGATTTTACACTAGTGTTCTCTAAAATTATACCCCAAAAATCAGCTCTCAGGGGTACTTGTTCTGAAACTTTCCTGTGATATTAGATATATCTCAAAGTATGAGGGAATGTTTGAAAGGGAACAGAAGAGGAGTTGGCTGGGGAAGGAAGGATGGAGATGATGTAAGTACAGTGTTCATTGATGAAACAGTCAAAAACATGTTTCTACATGAAGATCGAATGAGCATAGGGTGCAGCAAGTCTTTAGCAGCAGAAAGAAAAACAAGTAATAGGAAAAAAATCACAAGGCTGAGACTAGAAATCAAGTTCACTGTGAGAGCACATGCTTAGCTTGTAGAACATGAGAATAGCATGTGGGAAATCCTGGAATTCAATCGCCATCAGTTAAAAAAAATAAAACAAACAAACAAACAAAAAACCCAGAAAAAACATAAGCTAGATATTGGAGGAAAATGTCATGTGTATATATGTAGCCCAGTTTACCTACAGAACAATTAATAGACGTTAGTAAATACATCTTCAACTTGCTTTAAGATCTGACTTGAAAGAAACCAAAGATTAAATAAATAAAACAAAACCTCAAAGAAATTAAAAAAGAATTCATCCAGGGTCTGATTCAATAACCACAATTTCACTTACTGAGGGCTCATGAGATGCAAGGAAATGCGTTATACAATTTTCATATATTATCACTAATTTGCACCAAAAAATTCAAGGCAAATATTGTCAGTCTTGTTCATAAATGAGTGACCCATGGAGGAACAACTTGTGCATTACCCAAGGCTAAGCAAGAGTTCTCTGAGCAGGGAGGAATAGAGGTACAAATTCTCATGAGCAAATCTCTGTACAAATTGATTTTTACACAGCTATAAGAGCCACTCACCGTGACTGAGTATGACAGGGACCTTAACAAACTGTTAGTGACTGGAGCCAAGTCACATCAGCATTGAATATTCTGGAAATCATTTTTGCCTTGAGTCCCATCTGACTCAGATACGCTGGACTGGAACACGGACTTGCCCTTGGGTCGTTTTAACAATCTTTCTAGTTGTGTCCTTAATAATAATCTTCCTTAAATCTGAATGTGCTGATCTTTGCATGTCTAACAGGCTCTGGAAAATGTAAACATTTGTTAAACCTTGATTCTCTAAGCCTATCATGCAAATGGTAAATAAGTTAAAAAAAAAAAAAAGTATTCAAAGGACCTGGAAAATTGAAGCTTATAATAGAAAAAAGGAATTGATAATCCACAAACTATGTAATTTGCTTCTAAAATATATTATTGGGATATTTTATGATTGTTTTAAACCTTTTGAAACTACCCAAAACCTACCTTGACAGTTATCACTGGAATACTTCTTTGAGACCCATTCTTAACTACCACTGTCATAATTCTGACACTACTAATAGGGTACTATGTACTTCTGGAAGTTGAGATCAGTTTTACCTGTGGCCAGTAGTCATGATTTCCCAGCGCAGGAAAAACCTGGAGGTTTGGGAAGAGGTTCTGGACAGTTGTTGTCATGTTAGTGATCACGTTTATAACAGTGTCTGTGGAGAGTTCAGGTACAGGTACATGAGGTGGGCTATCACTGAAAAGGACAGAAGTGTAAAGAACAAATCCACTAGATTTATGCATAAGTTGTTGTAGTTATCATTATACATGTCCACTTTAAAATAATAACTGAAGATGAGCTTAACTACATAGCAAAACACAACCTCAAAGGGGGTCAAGAGGGATTAACTATTCTTCTTCCGTGGCAATTTTACAAAAACGGTTGGAGGTGGGATGTTAGTACAAGAAATTACAGCCTTTTTCACTGCCTGGCTGAAGATTTATAAGAAAGACCATAGGATCAGCAAAGTGTAGACGGCAGGACTAAAAGCATAGATTCAAATATCAGGTTTACCAACAAGTGACAGTAGATATGTGGGCAAGAATCTTTTTAGAGATTCTCAGTGATTCATTTCCTTGCCTCTAACATGGAAATAATATGATCTAGAGATATAAAGATGAAGAAGTTGCAGACGGAAAATAACTAAAACTGAACTTTACACAAAGTAAACACCTTATGAAGAAAAGCAATAGTCCTTACTTCAGGAACTGGAAATACAGTCCTCACCACAGTATGCTGATGGATGGACCTAGTTAATTATCCCACCACAACAGGAAGCTGCACAAAATTGTCATCATAGGCTAACACCCATTGTTATCTTTTTTCTTAATTATCTAATGAAAAAATTATATTCATATTAATATTATGAGATACTGATACGAGTGTGCTATGTATGGAATAGTCCCTCAGTGAACACAAACATATTTATAAAGTCTGTGCTACAAGAAGAAGCCCTATAGGATTGTTAAAATTATTTTTATTACTAGTAATATTGACGAATATGACCTGATATGTCTATATTGCATATAATTTACTTTGCATATGCATACAATTTACTTTGATCACAGTCACTTCCCAGTCTTCCCATTAACTTCTCCTAGATCAACACCATCTTCCAGTCTCTCCCAACTTCATGTCCTCTCTTTTTTTTCCTACTCATAGACTCATGAACGTCGGGGCACCCACTGGAGCATAAGACCTGTTTTAACATATGCATGTTTAACATGTTGTATGTAACCTATACAATTCTGAATGAAAAGAAGCACACTAGTGAAGACGGCCACACTGCAGGTCAACCTACCTAAGAGTTTATACATGTACTTACCCTGTCCATATCATGAAAGATGCTTCTTGTCCTGAATTCTTAATAAAATCAAATGCTGACAAAATAAGTTGATAGGGAGAGTCACACAGGACATCTCCAAAAGGGCCGGGATTGGAGGCATTCGCACCTTTAGATGACGCACACACCTTGGTGTGGTCATCTGTAATGTGGTAGGTAGGGTCCAGATGTAAGTCAGTCACGTGCCAAAACTGTCCTGTTGGTTAGAAAGGAAATACTGATGAATTCATGTTTGGAGTAATATTTCGGCAGCTGCCCCCCTACTGGCAGAAGGAAGCTGTCCCAATTTTGGTGTCCTTACACTACGAAGTTAAATGTAACTCTCTCCTGTGAGATGAAGAAGCATCAAGTAACACAAGAACATACAACTTACATGTGTAAAATCAATAAGCTCAGAGTAGCATGACTACCCAGTAAGGACTCTAGCAAAGATGAGATTCCGCAGTGAAATGTTTGGTGCCACCTTTCTGAGAGGCCAATGAGGGCATATAGTACTGCCTCTCAATAGCATGCCTTCTTGCAGAATCTGAGATTTGGGAAGTTTTGTGCTTTACTCTTGCATAAAAACAATAACTTAGAAATATCTACTTTACCAAGACTGCACAAGTAAGTAGAGTACAGAATCAAGAAATGTTTATTCAGTTACTTTTTATATAATTTCCCTCAGCATTAAAGGAAAAAAAAAACATAAATCTTTAATAGTAGGCATGCGACAAACATTGGATTTCTTAGATATTCTTAAAAGCAAACTAGTCACAGGTATAACCGTCATATACTTGTGTTCAATGTTAATATTGTGGGAAACAGATCTTCAAAGAGAACTTTCCCATTGGGCTAAGGGAAAAGCCAAATCTATTTGAAAGCAATCCTACTCGGACACCATATTAAAAAATATTACTTCATTGAAAGAATTATTAGAACCAATTGGTACCTTTTATTATAAATCTGTATTATATGCCGAGTACCGTAGTAAGAAATTTGAAGAATAGCTGAGCAGTGGTAATGCATGCCTTTAATCCCAGCAATCAGAAGGCAGAGGCAGGTAGATTGCTATGGGTTCAAGGTTAGCCTAGTATACAGAGCAAGTTCCAGGATAGCCAAGGCCTCACAAGAAACCTGTCACAAAACAAAACAAAACAAAAAAAAACAAACAAACAAAAATAGCGAAAGAAATTTGGAAGAGCAGAGAAGTCAAGAACACTAGGACAAAAAAAAACTATAGAATCAACTAACCTGGGCCCAAAGGGGCTCACAGAGTCTGAACCACTAATCAAAGAGAATGCATGGGCTGGACTTTGGCCCCCTACACAACATAGCAGATGTGCAGCTTGGTCTTAATGTGGGTCCCCTAACAACTGGTCTCTGATTCTGTTGCCTGCCTTTGGACCTCTTTCCCTTAACTGGGCAACCTTGTCTGGGCTCAATAGGAGAAGATGTGTCTAGTTCTACAGCAACTTGATATGCCCAGGTGGATTGATATCCAAGAGAGTCCTCCTTTTCTCTGAGGAAAAAGGAAGAAATGGGGGGAGAGGAAAGAGGAGAAGCTATGACTAGGATGTAAATTAAGTTAATTAATTAAAGAAAAAAATAAACCTGAAAACAAAAAGAAATTTATACATGTTGTATCACTTCATTCTCAAAGGGACTCTATGAAGTTGGATTCGTCATTTTTTTTTAATTACATTTTATTCATTTTGTATCCCCCCATAAGCCCCTCCCTCCTCCCCTCCTGATCCCACCCTCCCTCCCCTTTCTGCATGCATGCCACTCCCCAAGTCCACTGATAGGGGAGGTTCTCCTCTTCTTTCTGATCTTAGTCTATCAGTTCTCATCAAAAGTGGCTGCATTGTCCTCTACTGTGGCCTGGTAAGGCTGCTCCCCCCTCAGGGGGAAGTGATCAACGAGCAGGCCAATCAGATTATGTCAGGGGCAGTCCCTCTTCCCATTACTATGTAACCCACTTGGACACTGAACTGCCATGGGCTACACCTGTGCAGGGGTTCCAGGTCATCTCCACGAATAGTCCTTGGTTGGAGTATGAGTCTCTGGGAAGTTCCCTGTGTTCAAATTATCTTGTTCTGTTGCTCTGCTTGTGGAGTTCCCGTCCCCTCCAGCTCTTACTATTTCCCACTTCTTACATAAAATTCCATTCACTCTGCCCATCAGTTGGCCATCAGGCTCAGCATCTGCTTTGACAGTCTATACTGCAGAAGCTTTCAGAGGCCCTCTGTGGCAGGTTTCAAGGTTGTTTCCTGTTTTCTTCTGGCTTTCAGAGGCCCTCTGTAGCGGGTTCTGAGTTCATAGTAGATAAACTAATGCTGGGTGTGGTTTGAAAAGAAATGTCTCCCATGGGCTCAGGTATTTGACTACTTAGTCCTCAGCTGGTAGAGAAGTTAAGAAACCTTTAAGAGGTGGAACCTTGGTGGAGGAAGGATGTCACAGTGGGGTGTGTTTTGAGAGTTCGTAACATCACACTGTCCCTGCTTCCCAACTGTGGTTGACAATGTTGTCGCTGAGGGTCCTGATACAGCCGCTGTGCCATGAGCTCGACTCCTCCTGGGACTATAAGGGCAGATGAACTTCTCCTTCTGCAAGTTGTCCTGGTCATGGTGTTCTACCACAGCGGCCAAGCAGGCCCTTTGACAAACATACACAGCTTATGTGCTCTCTCATATAAGGGAACCTATATGCTGAAGAGACTTCAAGCTTCTGTATACAACTTACACATAAATTCAATGACTGTGCTGCTTTTTTATACATAACTGATTCTTTAACACTGAGATTTGACTCCAGCTTTAATTTGCATAGTATTTTTTTTTTATGTGTGTGCTTTTCTGAAAGTATAAGTACCTTTAGGACAGCTGAATTAAAATTTGGAATCACAAAAGAGAAAACACTTCCACCATTTTGTTTTTATTTTAATTACCATACTTAGTGAGTATAATATGCCCATTTTTTTCAGACTGTTTTCTTTAACTGCACTTCAAAATAGCCTTCCAAATATACTGCCAGACATGCTTATTTATGATTTTTGAGCTCACTCTGATTCTAATGTACATCCGAAACATATCAGAAAAAACACAGCAAAGCAAGTAGAATGTCAACTTGTTTAATCTATGCAAAGATGATAAAGCTTAGTAAAAAAAAAAAAAAAAAAAAAAAAAAAAAAAAAAAAAAAAAAAAAAACCCAATGGGAAAAATACAGTGAAAATGGTTATGTTCATGTTTTGATTATTCGGATACGATCTAGAATTGCCTGGGAAGGGCGTCTCAGTGAGGGTATCTCTACATCAGGCTGATTTGGGCTTGTCTTCGCAGCCACAGTGGAGGGTGCTAGTCCCCAGGCAGGTGATTCCGGATTGTGTTTGTGTAGAAGACTCAACACAAGTAAGAGTGCATCATTTGTTCTCTTTCTGCTCTAGACAGTGGGTGTGACTGGCTGTCTTATGTTCCTGCTGTGACTTCCCAGCAATAATGGGGAAACCATTTGATTACAGCCACTGAAATTAAATTAAAACTACAGTAAACTTGCTAAGTAGCAAAGATGAGTTATTGTTTGGGGGATCATTTCTTGCCAGCATCATCATAATTTTATTACAAGGGTTTATTTGTAAAAAGTAGGAGACATGAAATCCAGATAAAAATTGACATAAAATAGTATCTGTGGTCAATTACTCGGTACTTAGTCACTATTCTAAAATATCAGCCAAGAGTAATTTCTTTCAATTCACGAAGCAGAAAATGCTCTAAACTTTATCTTGAGTTCAGATACACTCTATCTAGCATACACAGCAGAGAAAGAAAATAGGTTGGAATTACCATTCAGGTTGCCCTTCCTCGGGATATAGAGTGCATCTCATTTTTGTGTGAACCTGTGTTTATATTATTTGTAGACTGTAAACATGCAGTAAACTATACATAAAACAGAATGGTGTCATGACATCAGAGTCAGACAGCCTGACTTTCAACATAAGTGCTACCACCCAGTAAGTAATTAATGTGTCTGTGTGATCTTGGCCTGTTTCATCTGTCACGAAGAACTAGTAATGGTGTCCTCTGAGATACAAAAGTAACTTAATAGTAGCAGAAAACAAGCCTGAAAAAGCACATGACGTGGGGCAAGCTACATGTAAGTTTTACTGTCCTTATTTTATAAAACCTGCAACCTGAAATGGAATTTCCCCATTTGCCTGGAACTGTTCGATTTCACCAAGTACTTCTGGTATTTGTTTCATAAGCTTTTCATTATTATTGTCCATTTTAACAGACAGGGAACAGGGATATCCCAAGAAGAGACTTGATACTGAAGCAAGAATCTCACCTCAGGACCTGTACGGCTTTGAACCACTGTACACTATCTCCCACATAGTCAAATAAGCTGCCTCGCACGGAAATAGTTAATGGCATCAACATCCAAAGCACAGCGAAGATTAAGGCAAATGAGATCATGAATGGATCAAGTTTCATAATCCAAAACCTGAAATGGATTAGGGCACATCCCTCTGACATAATCCAGCACCTAATTCACAGAACTCCAAGAATGGGCATATGTCTGACAGAGTGGGTCCTTGAGAAAGATCCTTTCATTTATATCTAATGGCATTTAGGCAAAGGCAAATGTCAGGATTCCCTCCATATCATGCGACTAGTCCATGAAAGCTGAGCTAGAACCAGCTTCTCCAGATGCCAACATGCTGTTTCTACCATGTCACATTGTTGGATAGACAAATGAGGGGGTAATTAGATTCACTCAACGACGGCTTTGAATGAGTCATAACCTCTGGGAAGCTTTACGTCCTAACTCTAATGAAATAGTTCATAAAGTGTGTGTGTGGGTATGTGTGTATAAGGTTACCAGTCTGGACTATGATACAGTCAATAACACACTCAAATCAAAATTTCCCAGCTCAAAGTCCAAAGTTCTTTACCACAATTGCTTTCTTATCTTATTCTCTTATTTTGAAACTTTTTTCAAAGATTTCTCAAGATATGTGTGTTCCGCGTTTTCTAGGTAAGTGTTCAAAATTTATCTAGACAGATGCTCAAATTTTTCGGAAAAAAAATTTTTTTATAAACAACTGTGTTATACAGTTGTTTAAATAGGAGTTGGCTTATGGCTTATCTGTTTATAATGTCAGTTCTTTTGTGCTAAACACACCAGCAAGTGACAGCCTACTAAATCTAAAGAAGGAAAACACTGGAGCCAAACACACCCAGGTAACCAACACCAGGGTAGTGTCCTCTAGCCACCTGGACTTGGCACGGGAAGAAACTAGACCTGGGAATTTAAAAGCAGTTAGGAAACAGGCAGAGGTCAGGCTGGGTGGAAACTGTCGGGGAAGTGAAACGGTGCCAGAAGGGAAAGAAATTCTTGTCAAGTGGAAAGCATACAAAACTATTCATGCAGTGCAAAACCAGAGTCCACACATCTGGTCTTTCACTGGAGAGCCTCTCCCTCCCTCCGCAGTGCTACCACCCCTCCCAAAACAGGAAGATATCCGAAGGAGGTTCACATGACTGCCCCCAGCAAACTTTCGTGAAGGCGTTCAGCAATGAACTCACTAAAAGCAAAAGTTTGCGAAGTTGCCCGTGGTGCAGCCTGGGACATTTCTAGGTCAAAATCCTGAACAGTCACAAATTTAAATAGCACGCTTCCTGCGATGTGAAAACGCAAGGCAGCAGCATTAGAGACACTTTGGTGAAGGTTTCTGTGATGACTGTTATTCACCAGAGCTGGCGAAGCAGACTGACAGATGTGCCTTACAAAGGCTTGACAGCTAAGTCTGGTGCGCCTCACCATCGGGCAAACAGAAGGGATGGGCTGGGGGTGGGGGTGGGGGCAATTCCATAAGTCCTGTCCAGAGCAGTGGCGTAGAGAGGAGACAGCAGGAGAACTTCAGTACTGAGCACAGCTCAAAGTCTCCAGGACAGCTACCTATCGCCCCAAATCAAAGCAGAACCCACCCCCACCTCCAAGTAGAGCAGTTATTTTTAAAGAGAGGTAGGGAGATAGGGGGTGGGGGTCACCTTGAATTTTGAAACCCAGAAGGCATCCTACAATTTTACTAAACATTCGGTCTGCAGAGGGATTCTCTTTAAGTTGAAAGAGACCGGGAGTGTTAAAACTGTCCTTATGTATCTACCCCAAAGGTCTTGGGAGTGGGGCTGAATTACAAAAAAAAAAAAAAAAAAAAAAAAAAACACTTTCGGGAGCTGCTGCTGCTGCTGCTGCTGCTGCTGCTGCTGCTGCTATTGGGAGCAAGGGGACTAAGGGGACAAGGACAGGACGGGGAGGGGCACGATTAGAGAAACAGAATAACAGGCACCTAAGTGTAAAGAACAGAACTGTTCCCAACGCAAGGACCCAATTTGACCAAGGGATAAAGAAGGGCTCACAAGTTTTACGCTAAGCCCCGAGACCCGGAGTGGCAGAGAAAGCCTCCGGTTTCTCTGAGCAGAACACAACCCAAGGACGCTTTGTATAGGACTGAAACTACACCGTGTGGGAACGCTGTAGGTTCGCCACGGCCCCACCCCCCCGCTCTGGGCAGAGTAGGTGACTTAGGGGGTCACAGCCGATTAATTCTTAGCTGCCTTTTCCAACAGGCAACAGCTTCGCTTCGGCTTTCCTCTCCCGGGTGCAAAACAACCCAGACTGGTATGTAAACAAACGTCCAGCAGGGGGCTCGATACTGGCGCCCACAGGACGCCCCCACCGTGGCCCAGACCCAGTGACCTTGCTGCTGTCTGGCCTTTGGCCACCGTGACCAGCGTGACCCCGGGTCCTGTGCCCAGACGCCCACGCCTCGTGGAGACCTGGCCGACCCCTTCCGTCCTCCCCGCACCGTGGTCACGGTCCACTCACCCACAGCTGGAGAGCGACCCGAGCGCGCCAGGGGCACCCCGAGGCCCGGGCCGCAGACCCAGGCAGCCAGCAGGCAGCACAGGACGGTGCCTAGCAACACCATGACGAGCGGAGGTCACTGCCCCGGGAGGCTAGGCTCGGGCTAAGGCACCGCTGGGACCCGCAGGCCCTGGGGGTGGGGAGGAAGCCACAGCCGGTCCTGGTGTTGACGCCCAGCAGGTCACGTGAACTATCGGATTCCCGTGAGCATGAGAGCTTCTGACTTTCTGGACTCTAGTTTTATTTTACATATGCCTCCTTTTTTCTTAGATCAGTGGAAAAGAATGTTCTTGAGCCAACCCCAAGCCCCGTATCTTCTCTGAACCTCAGGGAAGGAACCTGCCTGACGGGGCCACTTAGCTGAGGTTACTTGAAGTGTGGTTAAGACATTAGAGTAGCAGAATGGTTCTGAATTTCCTCCATACATGCACCACCCGGGGACTCCTGATAAGCAAATTCCCAAGCCTCAGGCCAGCGCTGACGAATCTACGCTCCAGGAGTGGAGTCCAGCTGGCAGGGTGCGGCTTCGTGGTACTCCAAAGTGAATGGGCAGGTTAGAGTTGGTAAACAGATTCACTAGGCTGAACTTTTTTCTTCGCACAACTGAGTTAAAGCATGTCCTCTTACAGTGTACCTGGTGAATACAAAATAGAGACTGTTCATTTTACACCCCAAAAGGACTTTTGGAAACTATATTGGCAAACAAGCCAGAATCCACACACTATGCATTCTATGGTTTTTCCTCCTGGTATTTGTGAGAATGTGGTCTCTTTAAAATACAGCCAGTTGTTTTAATTTATAAGGCGTGGGGTTTCTTTAGAGAAGATCAAACCTGACTCATAAGAGACGTGAGATGAAGCCTTGAAGAAGCTGTGCTGTGTTTAAAAAGATTCTGCAAAAATGCTATGCTTTAGCTGAGGTTGAGGCTATTTACTATGGGGAGATAGATGTTTTAGGTGGAGAGCCAAAGTTTTCTTGGGATATCTTGGTCCCTTTAATACTCAGTTGTCTTTACTTATATATCTAACATATCACTCTCATGACTAATAGAACAACGTTATCACTAAGCTTAACTGATCTCTAGATTCCTTCAACCCTAAAGTTAGGAATACTACATATATTATAGTAGGTATGTACTGTGTATATTATAGATCTACATACATAGATTTATATTCTTTCTACAAGAACATAATTAGTAAAAGTATTGATATATGACTTTCTTAGGTCTGTAAGTATAAGTTTCTATAACGTATTCCATACTGGAACAATATTTTAGAGAAACTAGAATCTATGTTCCCAACCTCTGATTACACATATTTGGTTCAGAATACATTATTTTTGCATTTTCTTTTAGTAATTCACAGTATTTTACGAATATATTTATTTTCCATCAGAGAAAACCTTTTCTTATGTCATGCATAATTTGATGATTGTATCTCATGAAAAGTTTTCTGTAGGTTTGTTTGTTTGTTTGTTTCATGGACACTAAGTTTCCTTTCAGGCCCTGACTGACTCCTCCAAAGTTCCCTTCAGCTTTCAGGAGATTCAAAACCAGTACAAGAACCACGGGGCTTTCCAGTGACAGAAAGTAAACTTTGCAGTTTCTCAGTCTACAATCCAAAGAGTGCAGGGGAAGTGAACTAGGAAAATGGTGGTGAGCTTGAAACACAGAGCAATTGACCATTAGTAAGATAGCACAAGTTTGAATGCTTTAAAAGAAAATTGAAACAATACCAAGTTTTGCTCATCGTTATGGGGAGCCTACCAGACGTGACCACTCATACATGATTCATTGCTAATTGCAAGTCTTTATTTCAGCTGGCTAGGACTATATTAAGACTATAGACACATCTAAATGTATATTTATATTCAGGACTTAGGTGTAGCCCACTGTAGTTTGAGCAGAGTCTTTCAAAGGCAAAAACTATATCTTGGGGTCTCACAAACAGGCAGTTAAACAGAAGCTAAGATAAGTTAGCAGGGGCATCTTGGCCTTAGATTCTAAAATACAGCCGGGTAATTTTCCACTGGATTACCCATTAAGAAGATCAAATTCTAGTTAAGCCTGAAATGGCCTCAGGAAGAATACAAGATGTAGGAACCTCTGCAGTGTTTTACCCTGCCAAATATTTTTTTTTTCAATTTCTAGGACATATTACAGGAAGTAAATTGGTTGTGAAGTAATTTTTTGGTGAAGAAACAAAATGCAGTACACACATTGTGAAGCTGTTGAAATGCCTGAAATCCTAAACTGATAAAGTGTTAAATGAAACACCAGCCTCAGTGCTGCTCACTTCACTATCTTCTGTTTTCTTTTCTAATTACTAAGCACAAAGCTTCAGTGTCCCAGATACTGATATACCTGAAGTGTAAGCCTGTACCTGTAGGTATCCAGGCTCCAAGCATGTTTATTTGAACCAGTGAAAATGTGAAATAAAGACAAAAACAGAAAACAAAAGCAAAGAAAACAAAACTGTAACAGTTGTTATAGTTTCATCTTTGTTGCTGTAATGAAACACTCAACCAAAAATGTTCAAGGATGGTGCCTCCGTCAGTGTTTTATTACTGGGACCAGCAACACCTATGAAGGTACTTGCTTATTTTTTCAAAGGTTTAGTCCATTCCCGTTAAGGTAAGGAGCATGACAACACGCAGGCAGGCATGGTGCCAAAAAAGAAGTAGGTAAGAATTCTACATCTGGATCCTCAGGCAACAGGAACCGAGAGCCACTTGGGCCTGGCTTAGGTTTCTGAAACCTCAAAGCCCACCCCCAATAACATACTTCCTCCAACAAGGCCACACCTTCTAATCCTTTCAAATAGTTCCATTCCATATTCATTACGAACCTATGGGGATGCGGGCCATTCTTATTAAAAGCACCACTGAAGGTAAAGGTTTCTTTGTTTTTTTTGTGTTTGTTTGTTTGTTTTGTTTTTAATTAGATGACAGTCCATCATTAAGGGAAGTCAGGGCAGAAACTCAAAATGGAGCTTGAAGCAGAAACTGAAAGAATGATACTGGCTCTCACACAGACTCATGCTTAGCTAGTTTTCTTGAAGAGCCCAGGACCATGTCCCCAGAGAACAGGGCCACCACAGTAAACTGCACCTTCCTCTACCAATGAACAATCAAGACAACACTTATATGTCCACTGGCCAATATGATTTGGGCAGTCTCTCAGTTGGGACTCTCATCTCCTTTGAACCTACCCTATATCACATTCAGAGTTAATGCTAACTAGTACAGTGTTCTAAAAAACTGGACTTTACAAACAGCTTTTAGTTTAGTTTTTATATTTGAGAAGTTGGAATTTCTTGGTCAAATTTCCGTTGATCCTAGTAAATATCTCATTTTCTTTAACAATATAAGAAGGGAGAGAACTGAAAAGTTAGAATACGTACACACTATTAAGTGAAATAGTAGCTGGTTTGAAGAAAAATGAGTTCCAGCTACATTTAATATTTTTAGAAGTGGAAATATCTATCAATAATGTTTCTATAAATGTACAGGTGATCTGCCACTGTAGCCCTTGATCTTCCATGTCATTATGATATTGTTTCCAACTCAGGCCACCCAAACACCTTTCCATTATTTCATGTTTTGGAAGGTAATACCCATAGGATATGTTTTCACATAATTACAGTAAACTGAAGAGAAATCCCACCTGCAGCACATGGCTTGAGACAGGCAGTCAAGCCCCAGATTGTCCAAAAGCTCCCGGTAACAGGGCAGGTAGCTGCTTGATTGGCAGCCCAATTCAGGGGTCCAGCAGCAACTGTTCCCCAGAATAAATGAATCTCAGACTGTCTTGAAGTGAGTGTGTTTATTTCATGTGAAATCAAGGACAATATAAACCTTGGGCAATGGGAGGGATGAGGGTGAGTGTGTTTGATTCAAAGGGGTCAGGGGTGCCAGGGATACTTAATCTACGTGTACCAAAACAGCCCTATCATAAGAGGGAAAAGGCAGAACTTAATTACCCTGTGGGTGGGGGAAAAGCTCCAGGTAAAGTCAAAGGCCATGGGTGGAAAGTTAAGACATTTTATTAGCATAGTGTAGGTATCTCCAGGAATAATCAGGGCCTTGCTGAACAGGTTTATCAGGAAAAGATTGGGCCTGTGATCTTTCTCTGAGGACTTCTTATAAGATCGGGTTTACCAGATCAGGCAGAAAGAGAACTCCACTGAAAAAAGGGAGTCCACCATTATAGACCAAGCACAGAGGCCATCCAGAAATGTCAGACTTCAATCTTATCCAGCAGATTCCAATACCAATTAATAGAGACAGAGACTTTTTAGATTTATAAAATCTTTATGGCACAAGTAGCTGGGCAGATATCAACCCTCTAAGCTATTTTGCTATTTCCCAGATACACAACCCAAATTACTTGCCATAATTATTCCTACCTGGGCTGTTTCTGTTCCATTAGGCCAGCCCTTATGGCCATATGTTCAAGGTCATACTGCCCAATGGTTACTCGCTTCTCTCCAGCTTCTCTTCCTCTACATCTTCTGCTTCCTGTCTCTCCTCCTCCCAGCTCCACAGTCACTCTCAGAACAGAAGCTCCACCTGCCCCTCTTTTGCCCAGCTATAGGTTGTCAGCAACTTTATTTAACCAGTCAGAGAATAGTGGCTAACAATATTGACACAACATCACTTGGGGAATGTGAGAATGTGCCCCTTTGGGCTGTAACTAGATCTTGGGAACCAGTATTTAACAACTGTACCTAGCACTCGACCAGCTCCCCAACACTGAGTGGCGAGAGAGGTCGCTCAGTACTGAAGAACACTTATTCTCATTCGAAGGACCTGGGTTTGGTTGCCATCACCCAATTCTGGTGGCACACACCACTAGACTTGTAACTCCCCCTCCAGGGAATCTCTCACCTTCTTCTGGCCTCTGTAGACACCCACATCAATTTCATGCAGCTACATTTGTGCACACACATATACATATGTACACACACACAATTATAAAGTGTTGTAAAGCATACATTGAATATTCCTAGTATAGAAATCAGAAATTCAAAATGCTCCAAAGTTTCAAACTGACATGACACCATCATGGGGAAATTCGACACCTAACCTTAACGTGGCATATTTGAGTGTAAGTTCATTAAAATACTTTAGCAGATACAAATGCAAATAGTTTACAAAATTACCTTCAAGTATGTGAAAAGGTACGTATAAAACCTAAATGAATTTTGTATTTAGATCATATCTCTAAGATACCTTGTTATGTACATGTATATCCTAAAATCCAAAACACTTTTTGTCCCAAGTATTTTGGGGAAGGAATATTGACCCTGTCCTATAACAATCAGGTAATGATATCATTGCATTGAACTGCATAAATTAAAAGACATTTCCTCACATTTTATATTTTGACCTTTAGTTCATTTATAAAAACTTAACGAATCACAAGATTGCATAAAAATGAGCATTACATATTTCTCTGAAAAATATTTTTTACTACTCCCCACCTAGACACTTAAATACTAAACTAATAGAGGAAAGGTTTTCTAAGGAATAATCAGGGTAATAAATTCTTGCAGTTTTCTTTTGGAAGAACACTGAACTGAAATGCTAGTTTCCAAGAGGATGTAAAGAAAAAACAATGAAGTTCACCATTTTCAGTATTTTTTACTGACCACAAGAACTTAGCCTTGCAACTTTAATGCTTGCTTTTCTACATCAGTGGACTAAATATAGCACTATCTGCCTTGTTTTATATCATAGGTTGAGAACATGACTGAAGAGCATTTCACAAGTAATAAAATGTAGTCACAGTTCTGTGTACGCCACAGGTGCAAACCAGCTAGGAAAAAAAACACTTCGTTTGGTCTGGTCAGATCTAGTCTAATCACCTTTTCTACCCAACAGCAGGAAAAGGTGGAATTTGAACATTTTCATGGATTCTCTGTACACACTTCACTTTAACATTCTTGACTTAGTGAAGTTCAGTTTGGAGGTTCACGATAAGAGTGGAGGATGAAATCAGCTTCCTTTTCCGGTTGTCTTTACTATAGAACTTTGACAAATGATACCATGATTGCATGGCACTGAATTATATTTTGTCACATTTTGAAGTCTTTAGCGTTTTTTTTTTTTTCCTTTAGACTGTTTTGTAAAAGTGAAATATCATTTTTGTAGCACTACTCACTGTAAAAGCTTTCTGACCAGGTGAGTGAATTATTTCCAGGTTCTCCATCGATGTCTCCAAAATGTGGCATCTCCCCATTCTCTGAGTCATCTAGTTTCTGAATGTGTATTTTCTGATGTATACATGATATTCCTTTTTCTAGCCTTACTTTATGCTATTAAAAAAGACTATTATTGTCCAAACTCTCTAGTAGACATAGTTCCAAAACAGACTGATGGCATTAAAAATGACAACCAACTTTTATAAGTGTGTATATTTTTATTCCAATTTAGTCTGTATTCCAAAGGAAATAATGTATAGTCCTATCTTTATAAAAAGTTATTATAAAATTATAACAAATTCAAAAACAGGGTAAATTTGCATATCAAAATCCCAAGAGTTGCTTGAAGTAACTTTAAATTATAATTTTCTGCCTTCACACCAAAGACAACCTTCTAATCAGTGACCAGTGCTGCAGTAGCTGGCTAACTCTGAGACTCCAGCAAACCGAACTGTCAAAAGACTGGTCATCGCTTCTATGCCTTTTCATAACAGCGAACAGCAACAACATCACCAAAGGTGAGAGTCTGAAATAATCAAACAGTAATTGAGTTGTTTTACTCAGGGACATTCACAGATGAATTTTTAAACATTATGATGTATGTAGTTTAAGTATGAGGACATTTATAAGCATTAAAGGCTGCATATATATATATATATATTTGGTCTCCTAACCAAAGGAAAGGGTGCATGTGTTTAATGAGTGAAAAGCAAGCTCACGTTGTCCAAGTTTATGAAAATGAAAAGGAAGCAGAAATAAGAGTTGGAAACTTAAATTCATTTTAAAAGTTCCTTTCCTGTGAAATTATTAAGGAAACCGGGACAAGTTGGATCCAAGGAAGGAACATGGTGCCACTGTAACCTTAACTATATGCTTGGAAAGGGAATTCCATCACTGATAGGCTTTCATAACAGTTCTCAATCCATAATCTTGATGGATTTCTTTAGAAAATAGAAACATTTGAGCTTACACTATCTGGAACGACTTACTGTAAAATCAGCAAGAGCGTGGTAGGACAGTGTTCTCCCAACCTTGACTGTCGTGTTTAGCCAGTGTGAACCAAAGTTGGGTGGTTAGGTGGCAATGGCATTGAATGTTGACTCTCTTACTTGGACCATGAAAAATTGCTATAAGGTATGTTCCCAAGACTGTCATTCATTGGTACCCGCCTCAGAATACAGTCTGCCTTTGCTTTACTCTCCATTTCAGAACTCAATCTTGCCTGATCACAGTCAGGATTTCTAGAGATGAGCTTGTTCCAGCTTTCTATAGACAGGAAAGAAATGGTAGTGACATCATAAAAAATAATTTCAGGATAATTGTTAGAAATGAACTCTTTTTGTTGTTGTTCATTATTCAAGAATTAAAAAAAAGTACTGTTCTCTGCTCTCCAACCTTCCACATGTGAAAAGAATTATATTTCAGTTCCGAAAAGCTCTGATTAAAGAATCATATTCTGATTAAGGAAGGTATTCTGTACTAGCAACAACAAAGGCACTTTCTAATTTTATATTAGCAGGAGTTTGTGAAGGAAACCCCAGATATCTCCAAGAGCAATAAGGCCACTTAGCGATATCACTATCATCTAAAAAAAAAAAAAAATTCTGTATCTAAAATGGTCTCTACAAGTCAAAGCCTAACTTTTTCTATCACTAGGGAAGTTATTTATCAAATTACTTTTTTCTATTTTATACTATTTGCATGCCTAACTGATCATGTTTAAAAATCAGCTGATCTGTTAAAAAAAAAAGGCAACTGTAAGGAAGTTACTTCAAATAGTTTTGCTGGAAATTAAAGTTTCACCTTTTAAAAGAATTATTTGCACTGAGTCCTTAGAAATTAAAATATATGATGTTTAAAGTTCTCTTATTACTGTATCTAACAAGTAACTTCTCTGAGATTCAGTTACTTTATGTTGTCATGTAAGTTACCTATGTATATTTTCCTGATTAACAGTTTCTGGTTAAGTTCAGGTGAAGGTTGAAGATTCACAGCTCCCTGTGTTCTTGACACACACTTTGGGTTAAATTGATGTGTAATTTTAAAACTCTACAGATGTCAACCTGTTGCAACAACTAGTTCTGACCTTTTCATTCCTCTGTTTTACATATTGTTAAGGGACCTTGATAGGCGCATAGTGTTAAGAAGGGAAGAAGAGAAGGGAGGAAAGGAGAGAAGCCATGGAAGGAGAGAAAGAAAGAAAGAAAGAAAGAAAGAAAGAAAGAAAGAAAGAAAGAAAGAAAGAAGTGAAGGAAGAAAGGAAGGAAGGAAGGAAGGAAGAAAAGAGAGAGAGAAAGAAAGAAAAAGAAAGAGTAGAAAGGGCTGTGGACAGGAAATGAAGACCTGTTAGTACTTACCACAACCATTTTGCCGTCCTTAATTTCTCTTACAAGATTTGTTTCTTTGCCATCCCATTTCTGTACGTGAATGAGCTTATCTCCATCCAACCGAACAACAGACTAAGGCCAACAACAAAATGCAGGTGATTAGCAGGCAGAAGTAATTTCTCATAGAAATCAAATGACAGGACTTTTGGAGAGTGTCATAACTGTGTACATCACCAATAATTATTCTAGCAGTATGTCATCCACTATTACTTCAAGATTCACTGTTATCCAAAATGTGGTTATTTCTAATTTGGCTGAAACATATACAACCAATTGCAAACGTGTTATAGATCGGAAATAAAAACAGAGCTAGTCACTCATCTTGTTTAAGCAAAGCTTTGGTGTGAGACTAACTAGTTGGTCAGGCTGAGGTGATTAGGGACAGAGAACAAAGTGTGGGCTTTCTCTCAAATAAACACTGCTAAATACTCTCTGGGTAAAAGTCTCTATAAAGTGTGAAAAATGTCTAACAAATGAAGAATAGGCTGGAAGCTTGGCTATGGAAATTATTCAGTGTCTAGGATAATTTGGGAACCCAAGACTGTCACCTCTGCTCCTTCTCCCTGAAGGGAAATTCTGAAGGATTATTCCCCTTCTCTGCTTCTGCGAAGTGGAGAGATTGGGCATGCATCCCTGCGACCCATCCCCACCCTGACTAAACCACTTCTTACCTTACAGTTCCTGTCATCGATGCTGGTTTCCTCAAACTCTTCTCCCAGCTGGAAACTGATCTCCGTGTTCTTGAATGTGCACTGTGTCCTGATCACCACTTTGCCGCCTTCCTGACTGATTATCACTGTTGGCTTGGTCACATTGCCCACTTGCCTAGTGGCAAAGCCCACTCCTGAAACAGCAAAAGGAGACAGTGCAGTTAACAGCATCTTCCAATAAAGGTCATAGAGCAGAAAGCTCTTTGCCAAACTCTGGGAATCCAGGATTGGATTCTAAAGTGTAGGTTCCATTCAAACCTGATTAATGATTAGTCGTTAGCTATGGAAGAGCTGAGCACAAATAAATGTTGAACACCCCCCCACACACAAAAACAAAAGTTATAGAAGCTTCACATTTTCCACAGACTATCAAATGGTCCAGTTATTTGGCAATGGGCAAGAAGGCAAGAAAATGCCCCATTAAGAATTCACTTAAGTGGGCTATGCACAGTCTCTCTTAATTACCACACTATGCTCGGCCTGTCTCGCAGTAACCCGGTAAGTAAAAATAGGAATTTCTAAGAATCGAAATACAGAGTTAAAAAGAGAGCAGCAAGTCTTGGTTTTACCTACCCAGAGCCTTCATGTATTCATCAAAATTCTGACTGTCCGTCAGCTTCCAGGTGGCACAGAAAGCGTCTATCATCCTTGCACTCCCAGTCAGCTGAAAATAGGTAGGAGCTGGAGAAACTCGGGTCTAACCCACCACTGTGGTTCACAAAAACCCTTTGCCCCTCGGCGGCAGCCCCTGCCTTCTTATTTGGAAAAGAAGCAGGCAAAAAGCCAATTGTTTGAATGGCTAACTTGTCCCTCTTTCCAGTAGGCTGTCCCTCGGGGGAGGAGCTGGGCAGATGGCTCCAATCCCCCTTGTGATTTGTTCAGGCCACTGGGTTAGCAGAGTAGGTCAAGATCCTTCCAGAAAACAGGAGAATGAGCGAGGGTTTTTCAGGTTCAGCAGAGAAAACCTGGCAACTGCAGCCTCAAACTGGGAGGAAAGAAAAAGGAAGGACAATAAGACATTCAGATTGATTTCCTTAACGAGCAAGCTGGTTACAAATGAAGACCCCCTTAAAGAAAAGCCCACTGGAATGCCAGGTTTTTCAGACAAGGGAGTCTGAAGGGTTTATTTTATTTTCTCTCATATTTACATGGAGAGCAAAATGCAGACGAGAGTACGCCTAGCTGGGAAAATATACAGAGTGTGGGCGAGAATGTATTGCCTAGATGAAAACTACTCAGAGTATCAATGAAACAAAGCAGTCTGGCTAGGAAGCCAAGTCTCAGCGCAAACGCAGTGAGTTGAAAGATCCCGTCGTTCTTTCTAAGAACGTAAGAACCAGACCGGAATGGGAAAGGAACCTTTTCAAGTGTGGTTAGGATTCACTAATGAGGGAGAGAAACAAAGAGGAGAGCCTTTTCCTTCACCTCCTCCAGCCGGCTATAGAATCTATGTGGAAAAGCTGGACAGGGAACCATTTGTTAAGATCGTAAGGGACGTTTCTGGTTTCCTGAGGCCACATCTGCCTAAATCTGATGCTTGCCTAAGTGGGGAGACAGGAACTGGAGGGGTGCTGGGAATGTGGAGAGCTTTGTCTATAGTTTGTCCTAGCCAGTGTGCCTCAGGAACGGCAGAATGCCTGGAAGGTCCTAATAGGGGAGTTAAAGAGGGAATGTGAATTTCCCCTTCAGCTTGAGACTTTCCGCTTCGCTTCGTAGATATGCCCGCCCAATGAAAAGGCCTTTCCGGAGGCTCACAGAGAGCCAGTAGTCTGACAAGGGGATCTCTGCTTTCCTGCCATCTCAGCTTGGGCCTCAGCTCGTAATACGTATGTTTCAATGTGCAGCACATTCAGAAGAGAAGGGCTCAGCGCACATCTTAGCCTATTGCTACCCTCGCTAGCTGATGGTACATTATACCGTGTTCATCACAACCACCATAACTTTCTCCATGCCCGCTTCCTGCAAGTTTTCACCACTTCAGTGAATACTTCCATAGACTTGTCAAGATGAAGAAACCAAAAATCTAATTATTCCTAATAGGTTTCTCTCTCAGATGACTGTCAGCCTGAAAACCTGGCTCATTTTGCTTCCCCAATATTTAGCTGTCATTTTACTCCCTTTCCACAATGCATCTTAATGCAAGAAACTTCTGGCTTTTCCTGATTCTATAGCAACAGCTACTGCACTGTTCTTGCAACTTCTCCTGAAACTAAACAAGCTTTCATATTTGTATCTCCCTCATTATTAAGCATACTGACCTTTTTTAAAATGTGCTTTTCTGAATTTTGCGTAACTTTGATACAGTGAATATTTAAATATTTTTCCTACTTTAAAGTTGTTTTTTCCCCCTTTCTACTGTCACATAGCCGTTCTTTGCATATTTTAGATAAGTTATTTGTTAGGTATGCGTTCTTGCAAAAATCTTGTTCTTTCCATTTTCTTGGTTAAAATACTTTTTTTCACTAATATGCCAAACTTTATTAAGTATACATCTTAAGTATGTATAATTGATACAACAGTGTAGTTATTTGTAAAATTCTAAATCTGATCTTGTTTTCTTATTTGAAACCTTCAGTATCTTTTCTTCTTGTTCTCAACTTAAAGAAATGCTCAACTTAGAGCATAGTCTAAAAGAGACCAGCCCTGACATTTGGACGACTCAGGGTGAGAAGCCATGACATCAGGGCATGTGTTAAATACCTCAGCTTACTGTGCTGAAATATTTGTCCTTATGCCTTTGTCCTCTCTATTTTTTAAGACAAATAATATGACATAAAGATGTTTATTCTAACTAAAAGCACATGCACATACAATTCTCTTATACAATTATAATTCTATAAATTCTATAATTCCTTTCACAGGAAGCAGTTTGGAAATTCCATCTTGATATACAGATGGAAATATTGTTATGTAGATACCTATATCTATATAAACCTCTGCAGTAGAATTTTTGGATGACCTAATCTGTTTGCTAGCCTAAATATGAACAAATTTAACATACTCACTATATAATAGATACCAAATAAAGGATGCACTGAATACTTACTGCTTTCATTAAAAGCATACTTGACACAGTTCAAGAGCAGAAAATATACAGTTTGTTGTACTAAGGGAACATCAACAAATAACTTTTCCCCAAACCCCCTAAACCTCAGAGTAATATATGACTCCGCTGAAGCATTAATAATTTACACGCATCTTAAAATCAAGAAGACTCACTGATTGACCCTTCTCCAGAGCTAATTCTTGCATGTGTTAACTAATGACAATGAGACCTCTAAGCACTTTAATGACTGGTAGGGCTGGTGGTGTGGCTTGGTGGCAGGGCACGGGCGGGCAAGGCCCCATTTTCTGCAAACTGAGAGGAAATAATGAAATTCATTATAAGATCTGCTTATTTTAAGTAACAGAATAATAAGAAAGATAGGGGATTTGAGAAATCTTGGCAAATCTCCACACAGGGCTGATGCCTGCTTTCTAACAGCTTTCCCTTTGTAAGAAAACACAGTAGCCATAAATTTGCAGCACTATTCCTTCTTTCTTTTTCTTTCTTTCTTTCTTTTTTCTTTCTTTTGTTTCTTTTCTCTTTTTTAAGCCATTTCTTCAGGTAGATGCTAAGAAAAATACTCAACATTCAAGATCTTTGCTTGAAACTTCTTTTCTTTACCAAAATATACAAAATCCTAGTGGAGCATCTTCATAGTGGAAATGAAGTGTGACAAGTGTTGATTTTGATTGTACCATTGCCCCCGCCCCCGGCTCTGCTGTAATCAGCAAGAGACAAAAATTTAGACACACACCCCTTTTCTGAAATAGTGGCAGAGATATTCTAAGGGCTTACCTGTCTTACTTACACTTCTCTGCCCCACCTCCACAACCAAGAAGCTAAATCTGCTCAATGCCTGGGGGCCAGGGTTAAGGAAGATAGCAACCTACAAGCCCAGGGTTAATGTAATTCTGGTAGTTGAATTTGATAGATAGAGTATAAGGGTGTGAAGAGGAAAAACATTGGCCCATCTGTCCCTTAGTGATGTGAAGTTTGTGTTTTGTGGTAGGTACAGAAAATAACTAGCCTAGACCAGAAAGGAAATGTAGCTTCATGTGGCATAGCTTGAAGAGGTCAAGGAGACCTCTTTTTCTTCCTCTGGACTTTTTTATACTTTCTGCTATTTTGCACTTTCTATCTCATTTTATCTAAGTATTCTAGTCACTTTATTTTCTTAAACATTAAATATACAGGAAGTTGTTAAATTTTTTTCAGAGTGACAAAGTGACTCACAAGACAATTTCTCTTATACCAGGGTTGTTATAAAAGTTTTAAGACCTTCCCTTCTTGGAGTATTTATGTGCAACAGCTCTTGAGAAAAATAAAATAAAAGCTCTCTCTCTTCTCAATTCTTTATTAATTTCTTCTGTCAGCTAGCATTTAGCTCAAATATTAATTCTTCACAAGGGGCCAATTCAAAACTTTGCGGTTGTGTCATCTCATCATTTTATGTCTTTTCCACATGTCATAAGTCAGCTAAATACGTTTTAACTTCATTATTTAATATCTGTTTCCCTCCCAGGAACACAGGTTCTTGATGTACCTATTTTACTCTGCAATGTAGTTCATGCTCATTGTTTAGCACAACCTGAAATCCACAGAGTGCGCCCCTACAGCAAGCATCAAAAGAATGAACAAAATTGTGAGTGCAGAGAAACAAAGAACCCAAAATATTCATTAGTGTCTATATGGTCTTTTCCAGGTCACTATCCAAACTTATTTTGTCTTTGCAAATTGTACGGTCTCCAAGGCAAGATATCCAAACTTCCTCTTCATTCCCATCACATGAACATTTAGGTATGTTACCTCAGAGAGTGGAACCTAAAAATGAGGTAGGTTAAGGCCTCCTGAAATAGCCAACTTTATTCAGATCATCAAACAATTTATATTCTGAGGGCATTCTGAGGTTTTAGCAAGGCCAAAGGAGCAAAGGTCACATGAGTTTAAAATATATTCAGTTAACCTGTGCTTGGAAACATCATCCAAATAAAAATAAGGGTGGATGATGGGTAATCTGAAGGAAATCCACTGTAATTTACTTCACCTGGGAAGGGCTGAAAGCACAGTCCAAGAGCAACTTACATTATGGAGAAACAAGGTCACAAGACTCTCACCTTGTTTTCTTGGAGTTTTCTTCTCACAAGCTCTCAAAATTCTCCTCACACAACTTCATTCATGGACTATGTTATGGCATGGTGAACACTAAGACAAATTTTTAGATTTCTCTTTAGCATTTGAAGAAAACCCACATGTAATGATCTAGGGTAACATTTAAGTGCTTGATGTACTCATTAATGCAAGGGTAAAAATAATTGTATTTCTTGCTAACAAATATACATAGAGAGTGCTCTTTCCATGCATCTTCAAGTCTGCTTATCATTATGGGTTATTTTCATTTGTATATTAACAAGACTTTGTTCTTTCTTTTTTTTGTTTTGTTGTTTGTTTGTTTCTCTGTGTACCCTTGGCTGTCCTAGATTCAGCTTTGTAGCTTTGTAGACAGAGATCTGTCTGTCTCTGCCTCCCTGAGTGCTGGGATCATAGTCATGCTCCACCTGTGGCCAGCGGCTTTTTTTTCTTATTGTTGTGCTTATAATTCTTAAAGATTTCTTCTCCCTTTTTGTATTAAATATCAAAATAAGCTTTAAGCAATGACTAGCAGACAGCTAGTTGTTAAAGAAAATTATTAATTCAGTATCTACTGAAGACTGA